TACCAAAGATTTATGCTCTCCTTCTAAACAGCTGCTAACCTACGCAGACTCTCAAACGTCACCAATTAACAAACACGCATTACTGCACTTTTCAAATGTTTACAGGCTGCGTTTTCTTCAAGTTTACATAAAAGCACCGCAGTCAAAAAAAGTTGGCTGTTTTTATTTATTTATTTATGAGGCTGACTAAAACTTCACAGGTCTATACTGCAGAAAGCCAAGATCTCTCTCTGATGGCGTTTTGGCAAAGGAACCGCAGAACGAAGCAGCCGTTCCACATTCTGTTCTCGATTTGGAACAGATTTTAAACCCTGCGACAAACATTTCAGACACTGAATGCAAAAACGATTATAATAGTCGTAAAAACACCACATCAGATAAAAGGTTGAAACCATATTTCATCTAAAAATGTATTTTGCGGAATAACGGCAAGTACACAGTACTAATATAATTACAAACTCTTTTCCAAAAAGAAGGTCTGGAGGTTTCAGCCTTATTATATACAAAGTGGGTTGCTTGTAGATGTCATGTGATATGCTGTGACTATTGAAATGTCATCCTGCACACAGATCAGTTTAAATGTAGCCTGAAGTCTTTTCCTGAACAGTATGGAGTTGTTTTCAGCAGAGTCGGCTAAGAAGATTCACTGCAAGGAGGCAAGAGAGTCGGTTCTTCTTCATCAGAGTCAAACTCCACATTCTCATCTTTAACCCATTTGCCACTTCGGTCCTGCAGCCACCCTGAACTAGAGGAAAGACGGTAAAAAGAAGGAAAAGATAACAATTATTAATATGAATTAATGAATGAATTAATATGAATTATTAATATGAATTATCTGCATTTACATTTTAATACCTATAATTGAATCATTAACTTGATGAATTCTAGATCAATTTGAATCTTTCCATTGGTAATTCAGGAAAAGAAAAGCAATATTGATTATACAATATGATTCACTCAATGTTCATTTCCAGATGGTTTTACTATTCTGTCAAATTTGCAATCAAGCTCACATAATCATACAATAATAATATTTGTATATAACCCCTTTAAAACTTAATTCTCAAAGTGCTTTACACAAAAAAAGATTCAAAGATAAAAACAGTTTAGAGTAACAGTAAGTTGAATCATTCAAAATAAAACATTCAAATATCTAGAAGCATAAAACAAACCAAGAATGCACACCTCACGAATGGGCAAGTGTAAAGTAGTGTTTTTAAGTATGATTTAAACAATCTAAAAGTTTCAGTATGCCTAATGTCTAGGGAAGAGAGTTCCAGAGCCTTGGAGCCAGGGAAGAGAAAGCCGGGTCACCCATAGAGTGTAGAAGAGTGGAGGGGACTGTTAAAAGACCAGAGTCAGAGAAATGGAGGTCACGTGAGGGGGAGTTCTCTCATATTTGAGGGACAACATGGACAGTAGATCAGCAAATTCGGGCATCAAGGCTATATTAGGCTTTGGAGGTCTGTATAACAGTGGAAATGGAATTAGAGACCCTTAAAATCAAGCAGCAAAGGAATGAAACCTGGGAGGGACCAATAGGCTCACCTCTAAAAGTTTATTAGATGGTAAAATAATACCACCTCCTCTGCCAGAGAGTCTAAGAGAGTCAAATCAATCATATTCTGCTGGGGTCAGTTCATTAAATAAGAGACAATCCGATTGCGAGTGCCAGGTTTCTGAAACTGAGTGATCGTAAAGGTAGCTTGGTGCATTTACGTGCTGACAGATTCTGCAGGTTAGCCCCAACACACGTAGACCTGTGTATTTTTCAGTGAAACAGTACCTTATCCACTGTCGCGATCGAGAAGCTGCTATAATATAACAGTATTGTATCATTTTCTTCTGAAGAAAGTCTTATTTCTTTTAGGTAAGTGGGAATAAAAGCAGTTTTAGTTTATAAAAATAAGATACATTTTATTAGTCCTCTTTAGAGTGTCTTTCTTACTGATTGGCTACAGAACAAAACACTGTTTCATAATGACTAGCATAGTTAACCTAACTAGCCTAGTTAACCTGAACTGCACTTTAAGCTGAATACTAGTATCCTGTGAAGTATTGTGTACTGTCATTATGGCAAAGACAAAATACATTAGTTACTAGAAATTAGTAATTAAAACTATTATTTTTAAAAATGTGTTGAAAAAAAATCTCCTCTGTTTTGCCATCAACTATAAATGTATAATTAAGATCTGTTTTAAGACATTAATCATTATACATTAGCGAACTTAAAGAAAAATTAAGTATTTTACAAAAATCTGCCTAAAATTGAGATTTTGACTACATTTCTTTGGCTTGTATTACTTTTTAATACTCTGTAGAAACTCTGCAATGTGAGTGAATGTGTTGCGAACCTCTTTAATTTGAGATAGTGATCCAGTTCTCTGCGTCTCTGTTCTGTTAAAGGTTCACAAACACTGGAACTCAGAGTGCTGGCTCCCTTTTTCTTCTTCTTTGCTTCTCCTTTAACTTCACTTGGACCCTGATGCACTATAAATGACAATTACCACAATGCATATCCTTTTTAACATTTATTTAATTGACAAAATCAATCTATCCTAATACAAATTTCATTTTTGTTTTACCTGTTGTTCTGGAGTCGTTACTTTCTGTCCTCATGGACAAATGAGAGTTGGCTAAATCGTTTCTATGCTCTTTGCTTGAAGACTCTGATCGTTCACTTCATGAAATAAGAGCAAAATTCTGATGAATTGATTGAAGAAACTACAGAGACACAAACAGTCTAGAAAGGAAAATAACAACTCTAACATGTGAAAGGAGATTTAAATGCAAAGATGTTTGGCTCACAGACCTTACCTAGCTTTTTTGTGGCAGCTACTGTATGGAACAGTTCTGAGTAAGGCATGATGGGTAATTTTGCGTGTTTGGGTCAGTAGAGGAGCTGAACTGGAGGGTTCCTGAGTACAAGCAACAATGTAATAATGAGAATGCATCACACTACTTTTTTTTTTACATGTGTATGTAGGGTATGAAAATAGAAATAGAAGACAATTACAGCAAAAGAAAAAAAAAAGAAATAATAAAATGGAGAGGTTTTTTAAATGTTTTTTTTAGCCATGGATCACACAACTAACACTGCCAATACTTTTGAGCACATGACAAATAAAAATTGTAATTTTAAAAATGTGCATTAAATTAGCAAAATTGAAAGGTGCACGATTAGATAAAGTGATCAAAGAAAACACATTGAATCACCTGTCGATCATCTTCTGCTTTGACATAGTCTTGATGTCTTCTTTTATCAATTTCGCGTCGCAGCTGATTCTTTTTGCCATAAAACCATTTCATTCCTGTAAAAAAAAAAAAAAAAAACCAAAGAGGACTTAACTCTGTCATAATGGATTTAAAATCTCCATTTTTGCATCCTAGGCCTGTCTGCAAACAAAGTGTCATTGCTTTATAAAAGTCTTCTTTTGTTTCTAAAGGAATTATTTCTAAATGATCATGTGAATATTCAGCTTTAACAACACTAAATAAATACTACTAAGATATATATTTTATTTAACATTGTTTTCAAATGTTTAATGGGTATATATATTATCAATACTAATAAATATTGTAATTAATGTATTATTTGAACATGTCAATGTGTGACTGAATACAATTTGAAGAAAAAAAGTGATATTTCATGTTGCAACTTGCAATGGTTTGTCAACAAGCACATGCTGTATGTATGTGTAAAGTTGGATAGATTTGCCTTCACAGATACTTTTAGACATATAATTGACACTAAAGGTGGTTCATATATATTTTGGAGTCCAAAATGACCCAAACATGTCACTTTTTTACTAAATCTCCTAATTAACAGTTTAATAGTATCTAGAGGAAGAAAGATATGTATTGTACATACTGTAGGTTGGGTAAAATGTACTGTAGTATCTCACCTTCAAGGTGTCGTTTTCCCTTCCTGTGCACCACGAGCATATCAACAGTGTCAAACACGGGACGGTGAGAACACACAAGACAACTGTATCTACAGTGGACGTTAACACACACACACACACACACACACACACACACACACACACACACACACACACACACACACACACACATTTACATTTCACTGATATTAATCAAATGAATACTATTACTGAGCTCTTGCAACTATCCAAATAATCACCTTCCGTTTTTCATCAGAGTAGCTTCATCATCTGGTATAAAGTTTGACAAAAGATCTGAAACACGTCGTTTCTATTCAAGGACAAGAAACAGACAGTAAGACAGTATTCGGCTTGTGCATGTAATACAGACACATCTTCTGACACTTTTATTATAACGTTACCTTCAGTATATTAAGCTGGCTTTGATCATCCCCTTCTCTTTTGAAAGACATGCTTGGCGACCTATTCTTCCAGAAACTAAACAGTGTTTTCTTATTTTGCTGCCAAAAGCTTACAAACTCCTCTCTTGTACTTCCTGTTTCTATGTGGAATTATGGGTAGTGATGTCCGACTCATGAATGAACGAGTCAGTTCACTAAAAACAGAGCGAACGATTCCTTCGCAGCTCAGACCGATGTCGGACTCATCCATGTTTTTTTTTTTTTTTTTGCTTATATTTCAGTTTGTTTATTTTTTTTAGTTAATGCTGTTGTTTTTTTAAACAAGGTGTACATAATTCGAAAATAATTCACAATGAGAGAAATAGTTATCAGTTGTTTTATTAATATTTTATTAATATTATAATTCAAAGGGTGTATAATCCTGATTTGTTATTGGAAATCACTTTTATTTTTAAACGTTTTTAAATACAACAACGCATATATTTCCCCTGAAAATTTACTTATGATGAATGGGAAATTTATAAAATCCTTAATTACACGGAATATGATTTACATCTATGTTTTAAACTATTACGCTCATCATGAAAGGAGTTCAAACCACTGATCATTTTACTGATTCATTGTCCAAAGGAACCGATTGGCTGAAATGCATGGGCGGATCTTACATTTAGCCGACGCCATGGCAACAGAAGCTAAGCTAATCTGCTAGGGACTTGTGACAAACAAGTTTTAAGACTTCGTTTAAAATGTAACGTTACTGGTAATACTTAACTTTAGGTTTATCGTAAACACATTTAAATAGTCATTTTTTGGGGGAGCGTTACCTCCATTTAATATAAGCCTTACACTAGTCAGCGCGTAATGTTATACATGTTAAAAGTATTAAAACTTCTCCTCTAGGACTGCGCAGGACTACATTATTGTTCCTCTAATGATTTATTCGCTAGTTTAGTGCGTTACAGCTTTATTTTAGTTCCCATTGTCGCTTGCTAACATTAATCATTCAAATGCGTGACAATAAAACAATTGATTTCTTATTTTCATAGCTTTAGACTTTATTTGACCCATAACAGACGCAGTTATGTTCAGTTCTGCCGTAAAGTGTTCAGCAGTAGAAGACGATCAGCTAAAGTTCATCTCAAATCATTATTAGATAAACACTCGGGGAGTCGAGTCATGTCCGCGGATCACTCAGCGACTCTAGCCGGGAGTCACGGCCTCCTCCGCGGCCAGCGCACCCGCTCGTACGGCAGCCTGGTGTCCTCTTCACAATCACCCGTCAGACAAAGGCGAATTGAACACATAGTTCAGCCCGGTGAAACTCTGCAAGGACTGTCACTGAAGTATGGCGTATCTGTAAGTAACGTTAAATAGGGATTTTTATGACATTATTTTGTCAAGCTGTTTTAACTATGCGTCTTATAAGTATTTGCTTTTATGCTATATTACTTTAAATACTATCTTTTTTCATTTAAGTACTAATACTTCATTATTAGCTACTAACTGTTAATACTTTATTATTAGATACTAATACTTCCTATATAACGTTAGACAGTTGGACTTTATTCACTGGATGCTAGAACTCATTCATTAGATACTAGTAAATGCATACTAGTACATATTTATTAAATATCATTACATATTTCATTCATGATAAATAATTACTGTTCTTGTAGATGCTATTTTAGTAACAAATTAAAAAGATCTGCCGTTGAGATATACTCTATATCTCATCGGCAGATCATCTTGTATGTCATTTGTTAATAAAATAGCATCTACAAGAACAGTAGATAGATAGTATGTTCTAGTATCTAAAAATAAGCACTAGTACCTACTACTAGTGTATTTACAGTTTCAATGTATATTAGTCAAAATTCAATAGTTGATATGTCAATGTTCTATAGATTAATATAGAAGTCAATGACAAAAATTAGTAATTTACTGTGGCCGAGAGAGCTTAACACACTGTCTGCAATTTAAGAAAACTTGTGCAATTATTTAAAACGCCAGCAAATAGAGAAAATATTTTCATCTGTTTGACAGCACATGTGCTGCAAATTCTCACAACGCAAACAAATTAAAAAAAAAAGTACTGCATTTTCATCCGCACAAACAAATTAATAAAATGCTTTGCATTTTTTCGCAACCCCAATTTTTTATTTATTTATTTATTTATTTTTACGAAAACATGCTGCATTTTTTTTACAACACAAACATTTTGTGAAAACATGCTGCATTTCCTCAAAACACTTTCAAATAGCACCCAATAGAAATGTTTTAAGGGGACCCTAAAAAGTGACGGACCTACTGCATGACTTCACTATGCACAGAGGTGTCCATCACGTTTTTGAGTCGCCTTGAAACATTTCCGTTGTGTTCTGTTCTTTTTGTGTTGTGATAAAATGCAGCACGTTTTATTAAATTGTTTGCATTGTGGGAAAATGCAGCACATTTTTCTATTGTGTATGCGTTGTGAGGATTTGCAGCACGTGTGCTATCAAACGGATGAAGATCTTTTCTTAATTTGCTGGCTTTTTTAGTAATCGCAAGTGTTTTCTTAAAATGCAGCATGTTAAGCTCTCTCGGCCACCGTAGAATAGTGTTAATTTTGACAATAGTATAGTTCCTAGTCACTAATAAAATCTGTGCCTGTACCTTGTACCTGTTAAGTCATAATTTATGGAATACTGTTTCCTGTTCCAAGCTAAGGGTCAATTGAATTGAGAAGATATTCGTTTTTGACAAATTTTTAGTCACATCAGACATAAAGGGGATTTTTTTTGTATCTATTTTTTATTTATAACATTTATTATTACTATTTGTTAAGCCTCCCCATACAGTTTGATAGAGAGCTTGTATCCAGAAGCTGCTTCTCCTGACATCACACTCAACAAGCGGATAAATACTGGTTGCTAAAAAATAAGTTTAATAATTAATTATCTAATGAATAAGATCTGGTACAGAACAGCTAGCTCTCTGCAACTCTCGCATGGTCGCCCACTGAAGCTAAGCAGGGCTGCGCCCGGTCAGTACCTGGATGGGAGACCACATGGGAAAACTAGGTTGCTGCCGAAAGTGGTGTTAGTGAGGCCAGCAGGGGGCGCCCAACCTGCGGTCTGTGTGGGTCCTAATGCCCCAGTATAGTGACGGGGACGCTATAATGCTCAGTGAGCGCCGTCTTTCAGATGAGACGTTAAACCGAGGTCCCGACTCTCTGGTCGTTAAAAATCCCAGGATGTCCTTCGAAAAAGAGTAGGGGTTTAACCCCGGCATCCTGGCCAAATCTGCCCACTGGCCCTTGTCCATCATGGCCTCCTAACCATCCCCATATTCCTATTGGCTTCATCACTCTCTCCTCTCCACCAATCAGCTGGTGTGTGGTGTGCGGTCTGGTGCAAAATGGCTACCGTCGCGTCATCCAGGTGGATGCTGCACACTGGTGGTGGATGAGGAGACCCCCCCATTGTGTAAAGCGATTTGAGTGCCCAGAAAAGCGCTATATAAATGTAAGGAATTATTATTATAAACAAGAACAAATAAAGGATAACCCCTATAAGTTAATGAAAAAAATATACTATGTTATAAAAATAAGTGATAATAACACGAAAATGAAAACCATTTACTTAGATTAAATGTTAAAATGGCTTGCCAAATTCTGACAGTGGAATGAACTTGTACTTTTTCTTTCTTTACAGATGGAGCAAATCAAAAGGGCAAACAGACTGTACACAAATGAATCAATATTCCTGAAGGAGTCCCTCTTCATCCCTGTGCTGACGGAGTCTGTGTCTTTCACAAATGGAGTGGAATTGACCGAGGAGAAGACAAGTCCAGCACAAACACACACACTGATTTCTAATGAGACTTCCAAAAGCCAAACAGACTCTAGCAAATGTGAAGCGAATGCTGATCTGTCACCGGTTGAGTACCTGAAAAAGATAGACAGCTTGATCAATCAGTCCAAGCAAGCTGCTGTGAAGACCTGCCAGGAAGGAGAGAAACAGTAAGTTGTCAGAATTAAGTTATGACTGCTGTCATTATGGTTATGGTGTTACAGAGTTTACTTATTGCAGTCATTTGCTGTCAGTTGAGTTGTTCAGAAAGTTTCATTTCAGTGGATGAACTATGTCATATGACTCTGGAGGGAATGCAATGAATGAGCATCAGCTGATTGTGGGAATCACTAATACACTGGGAATTGTTGTTGGACATTTTACTTTTACTTTCAAAGTAGCATTTAATGTATTAAATTTCACTTGTCATTATAAATTTAGATAACTAACATTGAATCAAATTAATGTAGCATTTTTTTTTTGCAATACTTACTGTATTTTTCATCCTTAAATGTCAAACAGGCTCCTGTTATCTTATTCAAAACTTGAAAAACTAGCAATGGTGGCCAACGAACATTAATCATATATTTGAGTAAAAGTACCTACAGTATATATATATATATATATATATATATATATATATATATATATATATATGTATATATATATATGTATATATATATATATATATATATATATATAAAAACGATGCAATCCTGGATTAACATCTATGTTGATCCTGAAATATCATTTTTGTTGGAAAATTTAATCCATACCTAATCCCTGCCCCTAAACCCACCATAACTGTAAATTATTTCCAATATTATAGGGGAATAAGAGTTGGATAACAATAATGTATAAGTGCATAAACCTAACCGCAAGCCTAATCTAACGGTAAACGTATCCCCTAATTCTGATTGGTATGATGTTTCAGCATCAGCATAGATGCTAACCCAGGAACTTGTCCTCCTTGGTGAAATCAGGTTGGCACCCACAGGTCATAGAATGTCTTAAATATCACGTAATTGACCCTTTGCAAAACCTGGCTCACTAGCTTTTAATATCAGCCATGGCACTCTCCTATCAATTTTGTGCCCATTGCAGAGAAATAGTGAATAATTTCTGGAAAAATTACATTCTGATTCTCTTAACTATCTAAAGTCTTCTTATATATTTAATTTGATACATGAAGGAATCTATATGATCAAACTGTTAAAATCTCTTCAACAGTAGCATTAAAAAGGTCATGTTAAAATAAAACATTTTAGCTTTAAATGTTGCCTTTTTTAAATGACCTTTGACTACATGTGCATAATATCATGTTACATGTCTAAAGCGGGTCATACACCTAAAGAGAAGAGCAGCACTGTACAGCTTGAGGTATTGCACTCCGCATTAGCACTTTCTATATGTGAATATAATATTATTCAATATAAAACAATGCAAATGGCACAGAAGAGATTTGATTCAAAATCTGTAAGAAAGCTGCAGGGAAAAAAAAAATTGTGACCTCTTTAAAGTTTTCTGCCATTTTTACGATTTTTGCCCTAAATTCAGCAACTGTATAATTACTAAATTCTGGAGGGATGCAATAGCTGCCTGCTTTTCTGTTCGTTATGGACCATGAAAAGTTTTAGAACAGAAAGTTGAGAAGAAGTACAAGTGTGTTTCCAGTTAAAAAAAAAAGCAAAATGACAGAGTAAAAAAGTCTTCATTGTATTAAAGTAATTATTTTTAGATACTTACAAAATCTACTGAATTACAGTAATGAAATAAAAATGATTCAGTGTTGCACATTTCCAAATCCTTAATGCCTCTATAAAGAATCGGTTCCTTTTTTCCATGCATACAACATCAAACTTTCACTTTTGCATTTACAGGTTCTCTTCTATAGAGCATCTTCAGCACACTAGTCTGACCTCCAGCACAGCAACATCCCAGCAGGCCATATTGGGTGCTGTTCCTGTTACCATCACCAAACGCACCAGGAATTTGAGGGATAGAGAAGATGAAATCTTCCAGCTCTGATGTAGGCATTTGCTAGGGCTCTTCTGACTTATTTTTGTGTTATTTGTATAAATACACTGTTTAAGAAGCCTCCCTCTTCTGCAGTCACCTCTTTACAATGTGGAGAGTGCTGAAGGGATTTGCAATAGTGGTGTTTTCCAAACTACTGCCAGCAAGACAAGCACATATATTAGCACTGCAATAACACTGTAGCCCGATGCCTAAAAATATCATGAATATCAGTATCTCTTAAAAGCTCAACCAAAGTAATGACTGTTTTCTGTTTGCATAAAAGTGCTAACCAGGAATGTAGCTTGAGAAATAGTGGTACTTCTAGATAATATTTAATATACCTCACACATACTCGATAGAAATGCTTCAGTTTTCAGGAAATTGAAGGAGTGTATGCTTTAGGAATGTGCCATTGGGAATCGATCAGATGTGAGCACAATGCATAGTTTTGCACTGCAGTCATCTTGGTTTTGTGATGTTTACAATGTGCTAAAGTGTCTAATACCATTTGTGGTTACCAAATCATGATAAAGGCTTTGATTTATGATTTTTGATTGTGTTTTTCATCAGTGATTTGTGAACTTGAGACTTATGCCACAGTTAATTATCGTGCTTTGAAACTCTCAGGTCAAATGCTAAAAACTTAACTTCAGTATGAAGTCTTGTGTGATTATTCAGTGGTAAAGAACAGATGATTTAAGCAGTGTGTAACGTAATCATGCATTGTGTTCATGCAGTTAATTTCACAATTGAATTGTGCCAGCATTACATCAATTGTGCACTTTTAATCGGAAACATTTTTATAATTTAATTTCACATTTATACAAAGGGGGTGAATTGTGAATATGAATGTCTTCAACGAAAAATAAAATATAGTAATGTTGCTATGGTAAACAGTTTCTTGTCAGTAGTAAATTATTCAAAGGGCACCTATTTTACCCTTTTTTCAAGATTCAAGAGAAGTCTTTTGTGCTTCCAGAATGTGTCTGTAAAATTTCAGCTCAAAACAGCCATCAGATTATTTATTATACCTTTCAGAATATTAGAATTTTCTGCTCTGAACACATTGTTGCTGTTTTTGTTGCATGTACCTTTAATGCTAGTTATGTGCCTCAATCTCTGGCTGCGTCAGATAAAGAGCAGAGTGACAGACATAAAGGAAGCAGATCTCACGTAATGTTTGTGAGAAATACTACAGTAAGAACTTTTCCAATGATTATTTGATGTATTTGCTGTGGAGTTAATTCAAGCCTTTCGATGAGTCGCACACAATGCTGTTACAAAGTTCGTGCGCACACACAAAAACACACACAGAGGACACACACAGCGCGCTTGTTTAACTTTGCATGGCACATTTGACAGGATACACGTTAATATTCACTGCTGTATAGATATCTGTTAAGTTACTGTACAAAATAAACCTGATTTAACGTCCACAAACCGGGATTGAAACGTTTTCTTTTAGAATTGTACTGACATGCAGCTGTGGTGATTATGTAAAGACGGTAAACTCGCTGATATTCATTATTATTCATTACAAACATGCACTGTTTTAAAAAAACGTTTTAAAGTTGTAAAACTTATTCTTGATTACATTTGATGACGATTGATGATCACAGCGAGCTGAACAAATCTCAATTCCTGTTGCTTTGAGCACATCCTGTCTTGTCTTGTTATAATTAGATATAATTATACGTGTTACCATGGAGGCATGTTAATATGCGGCTGTCAATCAATTCGGTGGGCGGGGAAACAGCACTCCTCCTACGGGCTTAAAATGGGAGAGATTTGGATCCTATTTTAACCTCAGCAAATTAAAAATAAGAGATTTTTTGTCTTTAAATCACCCTAATATGACTGTGGGTACAATATTCCTATAGACAGTTCTGTCTAAACAGCTTCCAAAGATGATTTGTCTCATAGGTGCCCTTTAAAGAAAAGGTTTAAATGTTAAAATCAAATGTAACTCAAAGCAAATATTTATGCATTAATACAAAAACATTACAAATATTAAACATTAAAATAATGTTTTTTTTTTTTTTTTAACCTTCTGGTGCAGAATTTTAACTTTTTGTTTTACTTTATTGAAATGGAAACTTTAAATGTTTCGGCCTTTGCCCTTTTTTAAAAAGTAAAATGTACATGATTTTGTAATGTTGGATCCTCACATTTAAAAACAACTTGTTTGGTTTCATTGCATTATTTTTCTCAATTATTTTCAGAGAAATATGATGCAGAAAATACATATCTTATATAAAATAAAATTGTTATTCTGTGCATTTTTCAATACAGTAAAACCAAACTAAACATAAAATAATTTAAGACAGAGACCAAACTGTGCTCCACAAGGTATGCTCATGGGATACTAACTATGCATATTAACTTCTGGTCTATGGGTTTTACTACTGCATAAATATAATATAGTACCATACAGTTGCACAATATAAAATGCAAAATGTAAAATATATATATATATATATATATATATATATATATATATATATATATATATATATATATATTTGAAATATAATCAGTTTATTTAAAATTATAATAGAAATATAATACATTAATAATTATATTTTTAAACTGTTATAAAAAGTGTTGGGAGCACCAGAGGGTTAATGTTTTAAAATGTAATGTTTATATACTTCAGGCATATATTCAGTCTTTAGCAATCATTTTAATATGCTGAATTAAATATAATCTAACTAACCTTAAGCTTTGCATTTCAACTCCATATGCAAATTACATAATCAGCAATAAGTGAGGGCTGTAAAATATTTATTTAGTGGTTGTTCCCTTTCAGAACACAGCAGGTTCCTCTCAGAGATGTTCAATATAGTAATGTTGACTGTAGTGCCAAGCTTCCATTTGTGTCATCGCCATAAACACAGGGTAACACTAGATGGCAGTATGAAGAGAGTGCCTTGCTAAAACATTTATGTGTTCTCTGCTTCTTGTTATTCTGCTGTCTTGGGGGGTAAATATTCAGCACAAAAAATGCAAACAGTTTCAAACAATACAATGTGCTCTAATTTACAGCAGAGTGGCAGAGCCCCTGTGGTTTAAACATCTTGACTTGGAGTCTCAGAGCTTTAAAAAATTGTTCAGATGATATTTTAAGATTTGATCTGAGCTCGCAGTGGCTGTTATAACAGTATCAGGCCACTAAATGAGCTAATGTTCATTAACACAACACTGTTTCAAAGGTGCCCGATGCCTCCAGTCTGTCGCTTTCTGTCTCTTTGCTTGCATCATGTTTGCATTTTGGGATCACGGATGCCAAGTCCAGAAAAAGTCTGTCAGTGTCCTCATAATGTCCCGTTCTCCAGCAGTTTGTTGAGGCCGTTGCAGATTTTGTTGAGGTGGGGTTTAAGGGGCCCTGATGAGTTGTAAAGCTGGGTCAGGAGCTCCGGGTCGGCGTAATGGTTGAACACGTGGTTGATGCGTCCGTGGGATTTTGTGGTGAGGTGAGTATTTACAAGCTTCAGAAGCATGTCCCTACTTTCTGTCAGGATGTCTGACATAACTGTTTTGTCAAATGTGAAATCTACCTGTAAAAGGAAAACAAGAGACTTTTTTTAGGGGAAAGTTCAAATCTGGGTGCAAATATGGCTTTGTTTAGAGAAGGGTTGCCCAAACGTTTTCTTATGAAGGGCCAAAAGCTAAACTTGATTGAGGGTTGTGGGCTGAAGGAAAATATACTAAACTGTATTATATTAAAGTTTCCATGAGCAATCTCCAAATTTATTTCTGAATAACTACAAAACATTGCTTTTAAATTAAATATTAACTAATGCAGTGTTATTTATTTATTTTTTTACAATGAACTTACCGTGAAAACAAACAATCTTATTAATAACACAATGGAGTTCAATGCCGAATACACTAAACTGCTCCTGCCTTTACTTTGATCTGCTTGCCGATGACTCTTGTGCATGGCAGCACGGTGGCTAAGTTGTTAGCACTTTCACCTATCAGCAAGAAGGCTGCTGGTTTGAGTCCCAGCTGGGCCAATTTGCATTTCTGTGTGGAGTTTGCATGTTTTCTTTGTGTTGGTGTGGGTTTCCTTCGGGTGCTTCGGGTTCCCCCACAGTCCAAACACATACTCTATAGGTGAACTGAATAAACTAAATTGTCCATGTGAATGAGTGTGTATGGGTGTTTCCCAATACTGGGTTGCGGCTGGAAGGGCATCTGCTGTGTAAAACATATGCTGGAAAAGTTGGTGGTTCATTCCACTGTGTCAACCTCTGAAATTAAGACCAAGCCGAAGGAAAATGAAGGAATGTCTTGCCCTCTATCTGTTGACTGACAATATTTACATTAAAAAAAATCTTAATTATTTTTTAACAAACAAAAGACTGCATTAAATTTGAAATGACGATGTCTGCCCCAACCACCTCCTCATCATTTTTCTTTTCTCAAATGGGATGGTGCGCCAAATCAAAGATTAGCATTGGTCAACTTTGGCATCTCTGGTTTAGAACTACACTTAATTTAATTATTCTGTTTTTTTTTTTTAGTTTAAAAGAACACAACAAAATTAAAATTAAAATGATCTTAATTAAAGAAAAACAAAAGTTATAAATAAAGTGACTGAAAATCTTGTTATTATAAATATATGATTTAAATAATGCAGCTTAAAATGACATTTTATTGATTGTTTTACTTTCATTAATTTACAAATTTTTCTTAAGGCTTAGTCTCTTATTTATCAGGGGTCCCCACAGTGGAATGAACTGCCAACTATTACAGCATATATTTTACAGTGGACAGTGGATGCCCGCAACCCAGTAACTCTCACATTCACATACTCACACTACAGCCAATTTTATTAATCCAATTCACCTATACCGCATGTCTTTGGAGTATGGCTGATACCGGAGCACCTGGAGATGTTAACATGCAAATTCCACTCGAACCAGTGACCTTCTTGCTGTGAAGCGACAGTGCTAACCGCTCAGCCACCGTGCCACCATTATTTTACTTTCTACATTTTGGAAATTCAAATATCACAAACTGACCCTAAGAAACAAGTCAAATAAACGATGTAAACTACTTTTTTATATTTTATATTACATGAATTCTAAATCAAAATAAACAAAAATATTATAGCTAAATTAACCGGACCTTACAAAAAATTATTTAATGGAAAACATTATTTTATAAAATAAACTGATAAATATTAAATAAATTGACTGATTTTGCTATGATATATTTTATTTGACATGATGAAAATTCTACACTTTTGAGTGATTTTTTTTTCAGTCAACTAATTTTGTTTTTTACATAGCAGAGCTGAATATAGACAGTGATCTTACAAGAATAAATGTAGAACTGCTTGTGTTTTTCTATACTTTAAAAAGAAGGAATATTTGAAACATAATAAGTGTAAGGTGAAGAAAGAGTGAAGACAGAGGGCAAACAACTCAAAATGTCCTCGCTGCATTCTAACCACAATGACATTGTGTGCTTAGTGTTTTAGTGCCCATGCTACCTTAAAGGTTGGGTTTAGGGTAGGGGGAGGTGTAGGCGATTGTCCTTTATGAAGTGGACCTGGTCCAGTATGTCATCAAGCTGCGGGCTGCAGCGAGGACTGTCTCAAACAATTTGCAGTTTAGCTTAGTATTACTAGGCCTAATCGATGTCGTCTTAGAAAGAATCTTTTAAAACATTTTACTGTTTTTTTGTTAAAATTTTTTATTACAGTTTGCACAATGTAAAACTTTTTTCTAAGCCCCTTACCTGTTAGAGTTAGTTATCAAAAATAGTAAAAGGCAGACTGATATATACTTAAACGAAAACCAGCATATAGTGATCTCCTTGGACAATAAATAAAACATACCAGGGCCAAAATTGTATTATATTCTAAAAAAAAATTTATAGATTT